CGAGGTTGCTTCTCTGACCGTCGTTGAGCGCGATTCGCTTGAGCGAGACAGTTTGTACGACGGCGCAACCACAGGAACTGATTTCGACGTCGACTCTTTGCTTTTACCAGCGTCTTCGCCGCCGCCGCCACCGCTTCCTCCTCCTCCTCCTCCGTTGCAAGCTACAATACAGGTATCGAAGTCACCGCCGGCTAGCCAAACTCCTTTAATGACACAAGCTGACGCCAATTTTGTCGTGGCCCCCGTAGTCAGCGATGTCCACAACGGTGCGCAAGAAACGCCCACCATACCCGACCAAGTCGGTGACTCGTTCCCTCAGCCGCATCCGTCTTCATGCTCTTCTGCGCCGCGGCCAGCTAACAGTCAATCGAAGCGTGCATGCGAATTCGGCGACGATCTGTCGAATTTGAACTCGCTAATGCCACAGATGGATTTCGACAAGCTGGAGCAGGACCTGGCGAAAGCCGCTAGAGAACGCGAGATGAGGCAACGAAAAGTAGGCATTTGTTGATGGTTCGTTGTTGGTCGTGTGGTCAGTTTTGAATCGTCATTCGCAGATAATGAGCGAACGGGTCCGACAAAGACTGGCCATGGACAGCAGCAGTCCACTGCCTCGCTATCGGCCTTCTTCGTTCAAGAGGCCGTTGAAATCGAATCTCGGTGCCAGGCTTCAGTCCAGCATGAACTTGCAGGTGATCGAACCGCTTTTTTCCGTTTACTGCACTGCCCTTTCATCAGATGTCGTTTTCGTTTTGCTAATTGCCCAGCGAGGTAAGCGCCGGAAGTAATGATGGTAATGTAATTATCGACTTAACATTTACCGCCTGATGAACACCGTCAGTAACGTTGCGACGCACCACTTTTTAGTCATTTTTCTGGACGATCAATGTCGAACGACTTGCTTCTGTGATAGCAACATCCACGTATATGCCAGCTGATACGCACTGCATTTCAGCGGTTTGATTTTTGACCCAAGGCGTAGCTTTAAAGTTATTCCTACTAACTCATAATTCACTAAGCAGTTAACTCACCATACTGTGCTTCGATGCCGCCAGCCGAGAAATGGATAGCAAATCGATGGCCTGCGAATAAAAGGAGCAGCTTTTTGTCCTGATGGGGTCCCGCCCAAGCTTCCAGATCTTATGAACATAAGAACTATGCACGCGCCCTGTGGCTGCGATTCGCCTTGGCCTATCCAGTAGCTGACCACAAGTCAGCAAGTTAAATTATGTATGAAAATTATGTTAATTTTGTATATGAGCGTAAATTTTCTGTTATGCTCGCCTCCTTTGTCACTTGCCTGTTGGCTGTAGCTGCTGAGAACGTTTACGGTGGTATTGCTCGAAGATTGACCGAGCGAAGTTCCTTTCAACAGTTCGTTGTAAGGGTACCTTTGAGATGTTGTTCATCATTATATAATCGCTGTCACCTCTCTCGTCCATTTTTACCAATATCTAACTTTGATTGGTACGACATTTATTAGACTATACTAAGAATACTCTTCTCTCTTAATAGCCTAATCACATGATCGTTCAAAAATTTGTTCTTGTGAATTTATTAAGCCATACGTTTGTTGTCATGAAGGACAGATACTTTAGTATGAAGTAAAGCGGACTACCAGAATTCTCGTCGACGTTGGGGTCGCCCAGTCGGTAGTGCATAGAACTCAGGGGAGAGATCCTAATTTTGTGCTTCGCT